TATATATATATATATATATATATATATATATATATATATATATATATGTATATGTATATGTGCATAGTCATAATACATGACAATGTATTAGTTTCATACCTTGGTAAGTTAGCTTTTAAAAGCCTTATTAACATCAAATAGTCTCAATTCAGTGTATGAAAACTGTCCTCACTCTTTTGGTTAGGACCCTCATGACCACTATTGAGTATATGTATTTTTTCATGTTTGAGCTTTCTCTTCAGTAAACAGTTGCTCATATCCTCTAGTTTCTTATTTGATTATTCTTTCCTTTGACTATTCTTTCCCTTTGAGGCATAACTTTCATTTTCAACATGAAAATTAAATTACTTTAGTTATATGCACCACCCACACACACAAATTTGTCTGTGGAAAACAAGGAACCTAGGGCCTTGTACATGCATGCTGGGTAAACATGCTACAACTAAATCACAGCCCCAGCCTTATCAGTCAGACATTTTGCAGATATTTTCTTTCCATTTTTGGCTGCTTAAATAAATTTTGTTGGTGGGAGAAAGTTATTTTTGGTATAAATTTAAATTTTTTCTTTACAAATTTTGCCTTAAAAAAACCTTCATAAAAATATTAGAAAGCATTCTGAAAAATACAGTAAACACCATCTTGTGTATGGATTCCTCCCCCACTCCAATTTGTATTAATTCTCAGAATAATACAATGGGATTTGAGAAAAAGCTTACCAATATTTTTACAACTCAGTATGTGTTACCAACTGTTTTCCAACATATTAAATGCTCAGCAGGTAAGGTGCCCACAGCCAAGTTTGACAACCTGAGTTTGATGTGTGGAACCCACATGATACAAGGAGCCAACTCTCCAGAGTTGATCTCTGACCATAATACATTCAACATACACACAAAGAATAGCTATTAAAATGAAAATCTATCAGCATTCATATTCCTTAACTGTATCTGCAATATCAGCTTAAAAAAAGCAGTAGTTTGACAATATATGGATCTTGATGAATTGAAATTCATTTTGTAGTTCATAGAAAAATGTTATTAGGTGTGGAAAAGGCTTTGTTGCTGTGTTCATTTAGGTCTGCACTGAAAGGATGTATTATCTGGGGAGTCTGAATCACTCCATCCTTTTACATTTGAGTAATAAACTAAAGATGTTCTAGCATAGTCCTCTGCATTTCAGACTTTCTATAGTAAATGTTCTCAATGTTTATCTGGAAACTTTAGTCAAACATATTCTAAGTAGTTTTTCAGATTTGAAAGAATTTACTGTAGACTGGTACCAATGATTTAATTTAAAATGTGTTTTGGAGAACAGAAGGCTAACAAACTTCTCTACTTTTGTAATACCTACCTGATTAATTTATAAATACCAGGTTTTGTGGAGGCTCTCCTTTTTTTAGTTTAAAATAGTTTTATTTGTGGCTGAAGAGATATCTCAGCTGTTAAAAATGCACAGTGCTCTTGTGAAGGGCCCAAGCTCTATTCCCAGAATCCATGTTAATCCATGGGCAGGGGCGCCTACCTGCACTACATGCACAGATCATGCACACACAAGTGCCCACTCCTACACATGGCTAAGAAAGAAAGGAAGGAAGAAAGAAAGAAAAAGAAAAAGAAAGAAAGAAGGAAGGAAGGAAAGAAGAAAGAAAGAAAGAAAGAAAGAAAGAAAGAAAGAAAGAAAGAAAGAAAGAAAGAGAAAGAAATTGTTGAGGCTAAAAGGATGGCTCAGTGGATAAGAGCCCTGGCTAATCTCCCACAGGTTCTAGATTCCCAGTGGCTCACAATCAAGTTCTAGGGGATCCAATGCCTTCTTCTGGATTCCTTTGGTATCAGGCACACATGCAGTGCATAGACAAAAACACACAGGCAAACACTCAACACATACAAAATTTACAAAGTTATTAAACTAAAAAATATATATACTTTACTAAGCTGGGTGTAGTGGCTTACATCTTTAATCCTAGAACTCATGAGGCTGAGGCAGTTAGTTGGCTCTGTTTGAAGCCAGCCTAGTCTTCTATACAGTGATTTCCAAGACAGCCAGAGCTAGACCTTGTCCCAAAAAACACAAAATAATTTTTCTACTAAATATTACAAAAATAGCACATTTTTCAAAACCAGGCCTTGAAAAACCAAGTATTTGCTACACCAACAAGAGAGATTAATTCCACCCACTCCCCAAAAAGATACTTACCTTCATTTTCTGAGAAAGGTTTCATTCTGTTCTTTAGATACCTGTTCATTTCTCCGTTATGGCACATTTCCAATACCAGATATACATAATTGCTATCTTCAAAGTAATTATAGAGCTAAAACAGAAAAGGGTGTGGTCAATTATACAAAGATGCAACTTTCTTAACTATTTCTATATGCCTTGTATCTTACCTCCAAGACAGATGGATGTTTCAACTGGCAATGTATTTTCACCTCATTTTGGACTCTCTGCACCATTCCAGCTTTGTACATGGCTTTCTTGTCTATCTAAAAATAAGAGGCCAGATTTGTTTGATTTTTATGGTTCTGTAATTTGAACCAGGACCCCATGAATGCTAGAGAAAAGCACTGTACCACCAAGCTATACCCCCAAGGGCCAGACAAAAGCTCAAACGTCAATCTAAAATTGTCCAAAGTCTTTTTACATGTTTGAAGTCAATTTAATCTTCGCTCCATTCTCGTACCTAGCAGAGTATTCTCAGTATGTCCAATGTATTTATGTTATGGCAGAGGTTGGCCTTGGACTTAAAGTGTCCTGACTTCTTCCCAATACCTTAAATACTCACAGTAACAAAATGCACTAGTTTCCCGAACACTGATAATTCATAAAACCTTAACTGTCTCTTAAATGTCCTTCAGTGCAGCTGTTGCAATTAGCAACAGTGACTTTTGGCTGTACAATATATTACACACACACAAGTTTTGACCAGCAGTTCTTGGGACCCATCAGGTTGCCTTCTTTATGCTGCCACTGCTGGCGATGCTGCCAATGCCACTGAAAAGTATCCCCTGTACCTCCTGAGGGCACATACATACACAGGTCAGGGGGGATAATGCCTTTAGTAGACAAAAAGTATGACATTTTAAATAGCATGCCTCTCTAGTACCTTGCAAAATACTAGAGAAACAGTCACTAATACATTCTTACCATTTTGATTGCAACTTCCAAACCGGTGTGAATGGACTCAGCTCTGTAGACACCAGCAAATGATCCTTTCCCGAGCAGATTTCCAACCTTAAAGTCCTTTAAAAAAGTTAAAGATTACACGTGATGAATCGCAGATCTAGAAAGGAAAAGAGCTGGGTAGGGACTGGAATGTAAAATGGGCCAGAAGGGAAATGTGACAAGGTTCAAGCAGATGCCACACCTCGATGGTGCAGGTGTCTGGGGTGGAAGGCATCTTGATGCTCAGAGAGGTTTCCTGAGATCCCACTCTGATGGAGACGGAGCACTCTAATAAGCTGGTTAGCTAGGCTCCCTTCCTCAAGTCCACCCGGCTCCCGCCACCGCTCCCGCCACGGTAACCGCCGTCCCCAGGGAGGGGCTGGCGGAGCAGCTTCCCCGAGCGAGCGCGGCTATGGAGGCGGGAGCGGGGACCAGACGCTGAGGGCTGGGGACCGGGCGGGGCCCACAGCTGGAGACCCACCTGCTGGGTACCAGGCCCCTCCCTGCAGCTCCGGGCTCCGAGGGGCGGACCTCGCTGCCCGACTCTCCACAATCCGCCCCGCCCTTACTTAGGTGGGTCACTTGACACCGGGGAGCGCTTTGGCCAGAGCGTCCTTCAGCCCGCGCCCTCCCTCCCTCCTGCCCGCCCGCCTCGTCTCACCTCTGCCTGTACCGGACCATATCCGACCTTCCCTAAAAGCTGCGCTCGCCTCGCCCCACTTCACCTCCGTAGGTCCCCTAGTTCAGCGCCCGCCTCACTCGGACCTTCCCTCAGCCCCTGGCCAGCCCGCCTCACCTCGATCCTCTCCCCAATGCACGCCGCCATGTTCCCGGGCCGCCGGCGCCCGGGACTCGGCCGTCTCGCAGTCCCTCCGAGGCAGCGCTCCGAGAAGCCAGCAGGTCTTGGCGCCCATTAGGCTGCCTTCTCTATGCCGCCGCTGCTGGCGACGCCGCCAACGCCACCGAAAAGTACCCCCGGTACCTCCAGAGGCCTGGGCGGCGCCTCCGTGCTCCCATTTTGAAAAATTCCCGCCGGTCTCCGTGCGAGCCAGACTGGCAGTGACGTCAGCACGCGCTTCACGCCTGAGAAGCCGAGACGCGCATGCGCAGGAGGGGCTTCCGGGTCTCGGTACTCTAGGCCGGAAGTTGGTCGTTGTTTGAGGGAAAGCGGTCAGTATGAGACTGACCGAAATGCCTACTTTAACAGTGGACGTTTAGAGCTGGGAGGGTTACGTCTTGACCTGAAGAACGAAAGCGTTTCGGAGCCGGGAACAGAGCGCAATAGTCCTAATGGAAGCCCTAATAGTGTTACAATCCAGGTCTAGATTGCTATCCCCAAACGCCCAATGACTCCAAGACAAGAAGTGAGGCGTGGAAAAAGATTATTTGCAAAGTCAGCAAACCAAAGAATATGGCCTTTTGGTTGGCAACAAAGATGGAACATCTTACGGAGCTCTTCGTCTCAGAGGGCAATTTATAGTCAGGAATAAGAGCTAGAGGCAGTGGGCACGTTAGAAAGACTGTGCTAAGTAAAGATAGTCGTCATTTGGGGCCTTTTTTGTCTTACGCTGTAATATTCTTCAGATAGTCATATTTAGGCCACTCTCCACACATATTTTAGACGAATACATTGTTACTCTGAAAGATAAGCATTATTTCACAAGTACTTGGCCCATACTTTTCAGTTGCTGTGAGAATCTCTGAGTTATCAGTACTCAAGGCTGTCTGCTTGCCTCCTGTTATCCAAGTCTAGGGGCTGTGATGATCCCATCTTCTGGCTTCTGTTGGCATGGCACTCACGTACACAAATCTATACTCACATATACTTCATAAAAAAATCTAAAACCAAAAAATTATTGTTCTCACCATGTGCTAGAAATCTTCAAAGCTGCTATGGAGCTTGCACTTTTATATGAAAAGAAATACTTTATAACTAACATGTAAGTTGCATACATGAGGAATGACTGCATATAAAAAAAAAAAAACCCAAAACAAAAACCCTAGAATTTATTGGGTTCATTTGTAGCTTAAAAGAATGTTTACATTCATAGAAGCACTAATTTTCAACATGATTTAACATTCTAGAATTTTAATTTCAAGCATTCAAGCACATTGGCATATAGAATGTCTTTTGAAATGTCTTAATAAGCGCCAGGTGTGGTACTTTATGTCTGTAATCCCAGCCTGGTCTACAAAGCCAGGTCAGGACAGCCAAGGGTACAACAAAGAAACCCTGTCTTGAAAAACAAAAAACAGAAACCAAACCAACCAACCAAAAAAAAAAAAAAAAGTCTTAATAGGCAATTAAAATTTTTGACACAGGATATTAAGTCTCTTAGACTGGCCTTGAACTACAGATTTTCTTTCAAGTGTTGGGATTTTAGGTGGGTGCCACTATGTCTGGCTTCATAGGTGAATTAGACAGTTGCCTGAAAGTCCCTACAACAGTCTTTGGTATTCCTAGGCTTTAGTTTGTGGCCTCACTCTTTCACATATATTTACTTAAGTCTATGACTATTGATATAAATCCATTACATAAATCACTTTTTGTTGTTTTATATACTTATTGCCTTCCATTATCACGGTTACTGTGGGCTTCACCATTGCCAGTTACTTTCTGTGTTCTGACACTGTTGTGTTGGAGCTGTTATATTTCTGGTGAATTATCTATAATCAAAGCATATTGTTTACATTCTAAATGTTTCATTTATACTATTCATGTAGGGTACACAAAATATTTACATCAATTCTTTAAATTTAAACTGTAGAATCATTTTTTAAACCCAACTTTCACTTATCTTTTTGTAGGATTCTTTTTGCATAACTTTTCCTCTATTACATAATTATTTGGTCTTTCTGTAAGCCACAAAACTGGCAAATGCCTGATACCTCTTAGCTATTGGTATTTAGGTTTTTATATGCTTACTGAGACAGGGTATTGGTAGCCCTGACTGGCCTTGTACTTCTAATGAGCATCACTCTCCCTCTACTCTCCTAGTGTTGAGATAACCAAAACAAGTGCTCCACCAGGCTCCTAGATTTTTGATTGTTCTGATTTCAGTGTTTTGTTTGCTTCTTTACTAGGCATTTAATACAATTTGGTTTAAGTTATCTCCTATTGAGTTAATGTTGTTATGGTCATCTTTAATCACTAAGAAAAATCATGTCTATCCAGCTCTATGGGCAGTGAGATTAAACAGGTGGACAAAAGCATCATTGTGGGAACAGTGTGTTTGCACTGCTGACATCATGCTGCCTGTGAGATTTGTGGGCTGTATGAACCATCCTGAATAGATTCCATTATCTGAAGGGGGAAATTTGAAGATAACTTATTAAAGACACATATACATAATCTGGCAGTCCGTCCTTACCTCTAAAATGCTTTCTTTCCTCTTATATTACATAACTAGAGAATTTTAAATAAACCTTTTCAAATTTTCAAGTCATGAGCAGCTGGAAATAAATACACTATGAGTTTAGAGTATGCATTTCATTGAATTTGTTGTTGTTGAGAGACAGGGCTTCTCTGTGTATCCCTGGCTATCGTGGAACTCACTCTGAAGACCAGGCTGGCCCTGAACTTGGAGATCTGCCTGCCCCTGCCTCCTGAGTGCCGGGGTTAAGGTTATGTGGCGTCACTATGTAGCTGCCATCATTTGGAAATTTAAAGTGCATGGTTTATTTTTCTAGATTGAGAATATATATCCTTTTATTTTTTATAGGCTGTCTGATATCCCTCAGAAGATTAATATTGTACATATTATATATTTTTTCAGGAACAATTATTTTTCCTTTATTAATGTTCCTTTATATATATTGTAATATTTTATATTTGAATATAAATACATATATGTATTTATATATTTATCAGGAACAGCAATTATTTTTGTACCTTTAACTGGCTTTGTACATCAGGCTGGCCTTGAGCTCGAAGATCTTCCTTCCTCTCCTTACCAAGTACTCGGACTAAAGTACACCTGGCTTTGAGACATGAGACATGGTCTCTCACTAGACCTGTAGCTTGTCAAATGGTTAAAGTAGATGGGTCACCAAGCTCCAGGGATCTTGTTTCCATTTCCTTGGTAAGTGCCACTAACCCCAGGGTTTTTTGTTTTGTTTTTTTAGTGGGTGCTCTGAATCCACATGCTTGTACTTGCATTTTACGGAGACATCTCCCCAGTCCTAGGAGCAGCAGCCCTCTTTGATGTGCCTGTGTGTTTTGTGTGCTACAGTCAGTTCAACTTAGTACAGCTGTTATTACCCCTTCCATCATAGACTATAGGGAGTAGACTCAGTTCCTCAGGCTTGCACAGCAAGCGCTTTTATTGAATGAGCCACCTTGCCAGCTCCAGGAGCAGCAAGTCATCAACAGAGGACCTGAGAAGAAATGCTTCGCAACCTGAGAACTTCCAAGCCCTTGCTCATTTTCAAGCTTTTGTCCACTAACATGTCGAACATTCACTGACTACCATGTACATTTTCAGAATTAAGTGTCTGAAAGTTTGCAAATGCAGCCAGGTTATTAAAAAACTCATTGTTATGCAAATTTCCTAAAAATAATTTGGTGACGTGTCTTCAGTGTTTCATGCAGTGAGTAAAGTTCATCTTGTGAAAATTAAACCTCTGGTGTGCAAAACTCACGGTTCAAGGAGCAGGTAGAATATGTATTTATTATTATTACATGACTTCTTGACAATGTGTACTGACATCCAAAAATGAATTGCATTTATTATCAATTGATTTGTCTGCTAGTATGAAGATGCAATTTACATACAGATGAAATGTTTTATATGCTTTGATTATTCTATATGCAAACATTTTGTGCCTATGTTTGTGAAGTCAAATTCCCAAATGGTATTTATAGAATATTATCAATTAACATTGAAAGCCATTCCTATGTCTGTTCATGTCTGTCATGTCAAACAAAATTATCTTTAGAGACATGTCACATTTGATTATTTTTCTGTATTGCAAACAGAATTGAGAAATCAAATGCACAATTCTTCTAAAAAGGAAGAAAACTAAGAATAGTTACTAAGAACTAAACTGTGAAAAGTTTATTTTACAGGAATGACTAGAGTAGAGTCACTTTGTACATACTTATAATGGTTGTGAAGATGACTAGAATACTATTTTACCAGAACTGGACAATGGAGTATGGCTTCCTTTAAAAAGTGTTCTTCTGGTGGGGCTGTGGTGGGGTACACCTTTGATCCCAGCATTTGGGAGGTGGAGGCAGGAGGATCTCTGTGAGGCTAACTTGGTCTATATAGTGAGTTCCAGGACAGACAACACTACAGCAAAACAGAACAAAAGATTTCCATGTATTGTGATGTTAAGTCACAATGGCTTCTTCCTATCAAACCTAAGAGCAAGCTCCTTCCAAGACACTAAGACATACACATTTTAGAGAAAAATGTACACTGTATTTTGCCACCTACATTCTAAGCAGGTTGACATGATTTTAAAGGTGTTTTCATTTCATCTCTCAAAAGAAACAAATTTAGGAAATGTTTAAAAAGGATATAGAGAGCTTATATTTAGTCAGAAATAAAAGGTTTAAGAAAAATCTGCTCTTTACTTTGAATTTCTGGTCCTTGTTATTCTGTCAACCTTAACAGACAACACTCACAAACTAACTTCTTTTGGTCCAGAATTATTTCTAATTATTGAACACCCAATATGAGGAGAATCTATTGATTGTCACTAAAACTAGAGGTGATGAATATGGAAAGGTGTATCTTGGTTTAATCACATATTAAGACCTCCAAATCCTAACTATAAGGCTTGGTATTAAAGGAAGCAAAGGGATGGTCAAAGTGGCACACACTTTTAATTCCAGCACTCAAAGATGAAGCAGGGGGATTACACATGTTGGAGGCTAGCCTGGACTACATATCTTGTCCTAGTACCAAATTGTAAGGGGAGAGAGGCTCCTAAACTTGTATAAACTGCTAATTATCCAAGTGGCAAGATGCATGATTTAAATGTCATGAAAAGAAGTTAAAAATCAAAATTTTAATAGCAATGCATTTG